TTTAAAACCAACAAAGCATTTAAAAAAATGCTATCTTTACTGACAATATCAGCACAACATAAAAACAGATTATGACTCTCCAGTATGAAATTTAGATTCATATATGAAGGAACTCAATGCAATTCCAATTGTAAGAGATAACAGCATTATAATGATAATGCATGGCTTCCCAAAATGACAACTATGAAGGACAACCTTGCTTGTACACATTAAACACCTAATGATAATGGTGTACTGTTAAGGATGTCCTTTGGGTCCCTAGAACAGCCTCTGGTCACCTGAGTGGTAAAAGAAAACATCCAGGAGTCAGAAGAAGACTGAAATTTTTTACTTTAGATGAAGCAAGATATGGAGACTGAGCCTACTATGATGCTCTTTAGGTAATTTTACTTAGCTAAAGTCTCATAATAGGTTTCTACGGCAAACTACTTTGTATGAAATGCAGAATGCATAGCTCAGTGCTGCAGCATAATAAGGAAAGTATGGGACTCTTGTGCCAATTTAAGACCACGTGAAGCTGGGGGTTGATGATGAGCTGTATTTTTAGGATCACAGCAAGCCATTTAAGACAACACATCCTTTACATGGAAGAGGATAAAGGATGATCTTTAAAACAGCATCCCTGAGGGAACAGCCTGAAGTGAGATCACAGAAAGTAAGTTTGTTTATCACCATGGAGAAGTGACGGTTATATCTAGTCTGAGACTTGATTCTGAAATACCTATAAATGAGAACTATTGAAGGAATACGGATTAATGAGGCCTTGATATCAAATTATTATGAAATTTTTATATCTCTTGATCACATAAATGGCAGCTGATATAAAAGGCTTGCTTTTCCTTGATGACAGAAGACTGCTGAATAGAAAATACACTCTGGTTCTTTGGATAGAGAAGAAACAGTTTACAGGAAGTTTAATGAGGAAACTGGGTTTTCCTGGCCATAACTGGAATAGTGTATTATGCATGTGTGTGCATATGTGTATGCGTGTGTGTATGTGTATGTGTTTAAGACAGAGATAAAAAGGAACTGCATGTACTCAATGCTCATTGCAAAGCTGTGTAATTATAATTATTGTTCTATTCCACCTCAGGAAGGTTTTTATTGTTATTGATACTGTTGATTTGTCATCAATTCCAGTGGTTTCACTTTGGCTTGATTCCTGCTTTAAAAGATTTGTTTCTCTTACATTCATGAATGTCATCCATTCCTTAATTCAATCATTTAACATATATTTTAGGGACTTTCAATAAGCATTTTCTCCCAAAATGTTTAGAACAAATAAACCCAAAAAACTATTAGAGCTCAGGAAATTAAATATAAATAAACACACACACACACACACATATATTAAAAAACCGAGTTAGGTAGAATGGTCTCCTTCCTTAAATTCCTAGACGTTTGAATTAAACCGATTTCTATTCTTTACTCCAATTGACATTTATTGGACAGATACAATAACAGGCCCTAGCACTGTGTTCTGGGTACTAAGAAAGTAAGAGCGAACAACAGCAAAGCCCTTGATCTCACGGAGCATATATTCTGTTGGGGAAAGACAGAAAATAAACCACTAAATAAACAAGTCAATAACAGGCCCTAGCACTGTGTTCTGGGTACTAAGAAAGTAAGAGCGAACAACAGCAAAGGCCTTGATCTCACGGAGCATATATTCTGTTGGGGAAAGACAGAAAATAAACCACTAAATAAACAAGCAAATAGGGAGATAAAAAATTCTATAATAAAATTTAAACTCAAACAAATTGATATGAGAGAAAGTAACTAAGGACTTACTAAAGAATTTAGACTGAGTTGTCCAGGAAGACCTACTACGGAAGTAAGATTTATGCTGTGAGCTGAATGACAAGAAGGAGCTAGCCATGCTCAGGGAAAGAGCATTCCAAGCAGAGAAAATGACTAAAGTAAAGGACCTGAGATGGACCTGAGTCTGCCTTGTTCTAGGAGAGGGAGAAGACAGTGGGCTAGAGCACAATGCTTGAGAGGAAATGGCACATTTTGCATATGTGAAGCTTCAGATGCCTATCGGATACCCAGGAGGAGGTGTCAAACAGGCAAGTGCTTCTCCCACTTAGTGTGCATGTGAGTCATATGAGGATCTTGTTAAAACTCATATTTTGATGCAATAGGTTGAGATGGAGCCCCTGATTCTGCATTTCTCAAAAGATCCCAGGTGATGACAACCCTGCTGGCCCGAGACCACATGTTGAGTGGTATGGATGTAGGCAGTTATGCATTTGTGAGGCTGTCGTTAAACATAAAGGAGAGAAAGAGAAGGTCAAACAATAAAAGAGGGGGAGAGGAAAGAGTCAGGGAGATGGTAGGACAGGGGGATAGAGCAGTGTCACAGAAACCAAAAAGTCCTTCACATAGGTGGGACTGTGTCAAAGGCTGAGTGGTAAAGGCAGTGTGAGGACTTGGATTCAGCATGTAACAGCCACTGGAAATCGTCAGTGGAGTAAGCTAACTTCTAATGCTGCTGTGGGGGTGTTATTACTTATTCCCAATAGGTGTGTTTTGAATTTAACCATTCTTCACAAGCCCTAACTCCACTCCCATCTCACACGCCTCATGACCTCACTATTTACTTCCCTGAAAAAAAAAAGTGAGAGACCAATTATAGGATCAACTACTTCCATCTTAAAACCTACACCCTTCAAATTACAACATTTTCCTATTTCCATCCTTTTCTCCTGTCTCAGAGTAATTGGATATAGGCTCCTTCCTTAAATTTGTTACCTGCCTTAAATCCCTCCACCCTGTCCCACCAAATGTGTTCCCATCAGGTTCTATTCTCTGATGTTTCCAAGGTCACTATCCACATTATTTTGTCTATCCTAGTGGTCTACTCCTACATGAATAAGAGTTTATGGAAGGGACATATGATCATATTCTGCCCAATGAAACATGACAGGAAGTTTGGGATAGTGGGGGGGGGGGACACTTCATTGATTAAGAAAGATATTGAAGAAGAAAAAAAGCACTCTGCAGCTGCTGACATGGATGTGAATGTGGAATGTGAGGCCTGGAAGTGCTACAATCATGCAACTATGAGGATCAGGAGCCCGAAGGTGAGCCAACACCTCAAGAATAGAAAAGCAGTAGAATGGGGAGAACCTATTTACTTGTAACATAATTGAGCCACTGAGTTAAATGGTGGTGGAAAAGCAATATTTCTGAAATATTTGTCACATGAGATAAGTCTACTGAGTTTTCTGTTACCTGCAGTTTAAAACAGCTTAATGCACTCTATCATGGCAGAATCTGTCCTTTTACTAGTGCTGTTTAAGGGAAAGAATAGTTTCTTGTACTTTCCTTATTCACTCTCTCTTTGTTCCTTCCCACCCTCTCTCATCCCTTCCATTCCTGCATCCCTCCTCCCTGCTTTCCTTGCTTACTCATTCCCTTTCTCTCTATCTCTGTTTCTCCAAAATTATTCTTTTATCTTTTAGGCTTGCCCCATTCAAGTACAAAACCTATATCTTTTAGTCCATAACAGCAAACTGATCATCGGGATCTACAACAATCCTTCACTCGTCTATTGTTTCCATTCAGATTCCTGGTTGGTTCCCAGCTTCTAGTTTTATCTCTTCTTTACAATTGTGACAGGGATGGTTATAGCTTATTTATTTAATCCTAGACAATCTTGTGACTCTTATATTTGCAGTTAACTATTTAGGAGATTCAGGATGCACCTATATAGAAATGAATGGCTATATAAGTGCGGCTAAAGGGGTATTTATTACATACTGTAGTGATCATAATAAACAGCAAAAAAGGGCATTCTGAATTTTCCCAGATAGACAGCCAGCTTCCATTTATTTGCTTTGTGAATTTCATGAATCTAGAATGTAGAAAATTTCTTGTTTTCAGATAACTTAGTCTTAAAATCTTTGTCTATAATAGATCATCAACACATATCTGATATATTACATTTTTTCAAACACAGAAATGATACGTTTCTTGACTTAAAGGCAAATGTTATAAAAGATTATTTTGATTTGTATTTCAATAAAAGTTATAATTGCTTTGCCTTCCTAAGCCCTTTCACCAAGGCTAAACTTGGTATCAATATTTGTATGTGTGGCTTGTCTGGGTGGGTCCTGCAATGATTCCAAGGTTTCCTGGTTAGTTGAAATATAACTTTGATGAGATTCTGCCTATGGACTTCAGGCAGCTTTATGATTCTGTGATACCCCCTCTCTCCAAAAAAGAACAAAACAAAAACAAACAAACAACAACAACAACAACAAAAAACCAGAAAAGCAGCTTCCTTTAAGTTTTAAACTAGAAAATGGGATTAGGTGTGAGTGGAGAAAGGACACCAAATACCTAAAGCACAAGCTTTGTTGTGGTGTGATTAGGCAGCATCAACATATTCACGGCAGTGGATCAGTAGAGTGATGTGGGTATCATGTAACTGTTCGGCTGCACCTGGGGTTTCTGACCTCCTTTCTCTGCCTTTTGAAAAGTCCGTGGTTTTCATTTCAAAACAGCAATGTTTTTTCCTTCCCTGTTTCTAACACCAACAGATGCTTTTCAAACTATCTTGAAACTAAGAACTCCACAGCTCCATAGCAGATAGGGAAAGTGAGACTTCTCAAAAGATGGGGTACATATTCTGCTGTGGACACCAAAGGCAGGTTTCCCATTGTGCAGGGGTGTGCACTTCACAAAGAGAGATGCACCAGGGAGATGTAACTGAGACAGATCCATAACCAGCTACAATTTTGTCTGCTCCCCACACTTCTCCCACCCCCCAATACAGAGAATGGCTCTCAATACTCTGATACAGAGAATAGTTTTCAATACTCTAGAAGACAAATGTGCTGTTACAACTCCTGCTCCAAAACTACAAGCTGATGAGTTGGCCTCTTCCATAGGAATTTAGTTCATTTTTGTCAATTACCAACATGTTTCCCTTGTGATTCTTTTCTTACTGTATACCCTTAAAGTTAACTTAGTTGCAATCAGTACTTCTCTTATTTTCTTAAATTTCTTTTTATTTCAATGGTTTTAACAAATATTTACTAGAAAGCTCACAATGCTCACTTTCATATTTCAATTTATATTCAAATTTATTCAAAGATAAAATCACCCAGTTTTGAAGAAGTCTATATAAATAATAAAACTGACTTTTCAAACCCACCTGTAATGATGCTATTCCCATATGATTTGGATAGGTTACACAAATGTTTTTTCTTAACATAGTCCTCCCACTCACCTCTTAATCTTTGATATATTAATTTTTGCTATTTCTAGCAATGCTTTCTATTACAATAGACTAAAGTTCAGCCACTTCAACTTTAAAAATAACCATTAAAAAAGTCAACCGAAAAATAATGTAATGTAATCAAAGCACCCTGAATTAATGGAAAAGAGCTTATTTTATAATTGAAAACCTGTCTTAATATTCTTAGAATCACGATAATATTTCCTTTGGAAATTTGGAAGTCATGTGAAAATTATAAAAGTAGATTATGGTACACATATCAACCTATTCTCATCACTGCAACTTAGATATCAGTACAAAAATCATACCTTAGAATTTCTCAATAGTTGAGCAACACCACAATGAGTTTTACTGTAACCGATGAAAGGTAAAGTATGGTAAACTGGATGCATGTAACAAACATGGGAGGTCATAATATGTTTCCAGGATATGGCATTTTGCCATTGACCACAGTCTCTTGGAATAAGATAAAGTCATTGAAATAGTTAACAGATGTTAGCCATATTTGAAATATAAAAAGTTCTGTTGCTGAAAATTATGTAGGGTCAAACGGAGATTTGGCTCTTGGTCCATAACTTAACTGACTTGGCAAATGGAAAGTTGAGATCCAGAGGCATAACGCATAATATCGAGGCCACACATTCTGTACTCTGTGCAGGAGCTCATAAACTACTGACAATACATACACTGTGCTAAGCCAGCTTGATTAAGTATTAACACAGTATTTGATACTTAGGGAAATCTGAAGTCAATTTTCACCTCTACTGAATTAAAAAGTTATTTCTATAAAAGCAAAAGAATAGACTTTTTTCCAAGTTCAAAAGCGTGCCTACAAGTTTCATTATTCATCCTCAGCTTGCAATTTACCTGATGACTGGTATTTCTTTCTGTCGACTTCATAATCTTTCCAGTTATAATCTTTTTTAAAGTATCTTTTCCCCCCACTCTTGTCTATTGCTTCACATTTCAGAACAAGTTAACATTAATGATTTTCAGATGAATATATGTAGCTGAAATGGATCTTCTCAACCTTAAGTCATAAATCCATTCAAGTCAAGCATTGAAGGAGGCTTGTGCTACTTTTGAGTTTGTGGTTTTATTCACAGCTTTGCAGATAAAGTCACCAGCTTCCATCACTTTGTAAAGATTCACACCCTGGTAAAGAAAAGAAGGGATACCAGAGGGAAGAGGTATTAGAGAGAAAAAAGACAAAACAGATTCCTTTTAATTTTATTCATAGTTGCTTAACCATTTAAAATTACTATACAAAGTGTTGCTCATTAATGATTTGGGGGCAAAATCTGTTTTCATGAATCATGTAGTCCACATTTTAGATTTTTCTGCTTTACTAAAACTTATCTCAAATCTCACCCTTATGTAATAACATAGGCTAGACATATCTGAATAACCCAATGTAATTCAGGCTGGTACCTAAAGTCTAGGAAGGATAATAATAGAACGAGAAAACAGTCTACAATGTATCAGTAAAGAACAATCAAAATGATAATTGTTTAGAGGAGTTTATAGATAAGAACTGACTTAGGGGAAAAAAGTAACTTTACTGTGCAAAGAAACAAACTTGATAAAGCCCTAAGGATTACAGAAAAGGTGAACCCCACGTATATGTATATAGTATCATATTTAGAAACACACACTGGTATAATGTTGAAGGAGGTAGTAGTAAGTTAATAAAATGAAGCAGTATTTAGTACACATCTGGAACTTGTTGCCTGAGAGGTTGTACTATCTGAAAGTATAAATAGGATCAACAAAGGCTTAGGTAAATCCATGGATGACAGATACACAGTTGGGTATGAAGGCCAAGTTCGGGGCATGCTCCTTATCTCTTGGCTGGGTTTGGTGTGATGAGAGGTCAGCATTGAAGACTCCACCCAGCACTTTTGCTGCCACAAGGGAGGCAGAGCACTCCCTCGGATTAATCAAAGATTTGTCCTTCTGTAGCATTTCATATACTGTGACCTCCTTCAATACAGACCAGAAACAATGTGGGCTTAGAATTGAACATACTCAGTCATCCTTGCTATCCACAAGTAGTTTTAAATATTTATGGAAGTCTGTCTTTTTCTTAAAATAGGCAAGTATAAGTACTCATAGGGGCCTTTCATAACAATGATCATTTTAGAAATTGAAGACATTTCATATAACTAATTACTTCTCTTTAGAAATGTTTAATGTACTGTTTTCTTTGTAGTTTAATTTTTTTAAGAATGATCAAGAAAAATATTTTGTAAAATGACACTCAAATAATTTTCATTATTTATTTTTTATTATACAGTTATTTTCAATTTTAACATTTGCTTTGATTTGATAAATTTGGTTTTGTCACGGTAATGGCATCAGGTAGAGTATCTGTTAGGCACATTTTAGTTTAACATCCTTAATCCAATGATATTTAAATTTTGTAAACAATTAGCTTCATTTGTCTTTCACTTCTGAATTAAACTTGGCCCTCCATATCTACGATCTTGCATCCAACAGTGGCTAGAAAATATTGGGTAAAAAAGAAAAAAACAAAAAATATAACAATACAACAAAATAAAATACAAATATTTGTCTTTCACTTCTGAATTAAACTTGGCCCTCCATATCTACGATCTTGCATCCAACAGTGGATAGAAAATATTGGGTAAAAAAGAAAAAAACAAAAAATATAACAATACAACAAAATAAAATACAAATACAAAAAATACAGTATAACAACTATTCATATAACATTTACATTGTATTAGGTATTATAAGTAATCTAGAGATAATTGAAAATATATGGGAGGATGCACATAGGTTGTATGCAAATACTATGCCATTTTATATAGGGGACTTGAGCATTCAAGGATATGGTATCTGCAGGTGGTCCTGGACTCAGGTCCTGCTGGCAATATGGACCCATAAACAGAAAATTCTGTATCATAGTTAAACCCACAGATAATGATATGCCCAGGTGATTATGGAGGCAGAGATGTGAGGCAGCCAACCCACTGAGGAAAAAGGAGTAGAGAAGAATGTGTCAGGGAAGGGAGCCAGGAATGGTAAATCCTTACCCTAGTTTTATATGGAGAATATGAGTCATCGAGAGATAGGAGGATTGGTAGGGCACTATACCAAAAAGAAGAGCAATGCAAGACATCTGAAAAATAGCGTGGTATATATGGAGAACTGGCCAAAGTACCATGGTATGTATATATGGAGAATGATGGGCGAAAGTACTCTGATATATATGAGTGGTAATGTGCAAAAAAAGCCATGGTATATATGGAGAAAAGGCAAAATATACCTTTTACACTGGAAAAGGTATGAATAGTCCAGATTATGAGATAGAGCACAGCCTTGCTTTTCAGGAAATAAGAATGTATTGATGGTAGAATGAAGGATAAATTGAGGCAAGTCTGGAACCAGCGGACCAGTGTAGAGGATGAACACCCAGGAAAGAGATAACAACCTGCACTGATGCAGTCATAGCAAGGATAGTAAGAAAGGCACAAACAACCAAAATATTTTGTAAGTCCAATTAGTGGCCCTTGGTAATTGATTAGACCTAAGATCCATATAATATTGGATTCTACAGAGAATCTTGCCTTCTTAGCTTGGGTAACTGGTTGAATTGTGGCAGCTACTCAATGTAACAATCCTCCTTGAATTGTGAAATTATTAAGAATAGATGATGTATTTGCATTTGGACTACAAAGTTATTGAACATGACCTGACACATATCAAGCTTCAGCTGTCACTTGAGTTCAATTCAGTCATCTAAATCTCCAAGAAAAGACCTATTTCTCTTTAGTTTCTGTCATGGCCTTCTCATAGAAATGATTAAGCTGCTTTGTAAATGAAATCATATTTATTCCTAACCAGAAAAGATAGGCAATAGTTTTTGGTGTTTATAGGAAACAGCTGTTGATGTTTAGTGCCAAGTGAAATCAGTTTTTCAATAAATATTTATTGAGCATCTTTATGCCACAGGCACTGAGTATGAATAAGCTGTAATAACTGTTCTCTGGTTACACAGAGAGCTATGCAGATAAACAAGATCATGACACAATCTTGTGGTAAGTCCACAGGTAAAGATACAGAGGATGGAATGGAAGCAATAAAGAGAGGAACCCAACAGTTTGGACTGGGGGATAGTCAGGGAGATTAAATGTCTAATCATCTGTGGACAGTTTTCTTGCCTTTTATATTTTTTACCAAAAAGTAATTTACCCTATAGGCTAAAAGTTTATGTTAACAAGCATGTGCAAAATGAAGTGCTGATTTTGGTGGATGTTATTGCCCAGCACGTGACTTTTCAGGCACTCCCTGTAAAGAGACTACTCTTGCCATCCAGTGTCTCACACGCTATGTGTTATTAAGCTCTCCTCTTCCACTGACCATTTTAAAAGTGACCTGGGCTCTTTGCCAGAAGTCCTAGTTGTCACTGTGAGACGATCAAGGCCTCTGTTCCTTCAAGGAAAACATCCATACAAAAAACAAAACTGCAAAACTCAACATCATAACAACAAAGACACATGCTCTAACTCACAAAGTGTGTAAAATCAAATTGGATAATACATGAAAAAGTACTTTAGAGGTCATGAAGCACCGTAAAAATGTTAAATGGTAGCATTATTGGGGAATGAGCTACAGCAATAAGTTACTTTACAAAGCCCCCGAAAGAAATTTTTATTGTATTTTCCCACTGTGCATTTTAGCAAATAGCAAAAGTGTAGTAAAACTTTGACCTCAAAATTGCTTCCCAAATCTAAGAAGCAGTCCAATTTGGAGCTGCAAGGAATACATGAATATTAAGATTTGGTAAAGTAACTTACTGTATTGAGACCCAGGCCATTAAGCATATATACCAAATCCTCCGTGGCTACATTCCCAGAAGCACCTTTTGCATAAGGGCAACCACCTAATCCGGATACTGCAGAGTCGACTACGTTAATTCCCATCTGAAAGACAAACCAAAACACCTAAGGCTTGTGTATTTATGGCATATAAATTATTGCATTTCTTTTTATCCTGTGGCAAAGAGCAAAGAAGCAAAATCTGAACCTATTATCCAAACATATTCACTTACCTGCTGCTAGATCAGTCCCTGGGGTGCTGATTTCTTTTCTGACTGTGACTTTTAGACTAACAACAACTCTGCTATGGATCTCTGGAATAATCTTAGATCAAAATTTAAATGGTGTAATTTGTTGATAACAGCACAACTATAAGTGGTAGAGCTTAAAGTAAGGATAATCTACTCCCAAGTTTTATATATTCTTCAGTTCTCTAGGTTTATCCTAAAAGTATCACATAAAAAATGTAAAATACCCAACTCAAAATCAAGGGGAAGGGGAGGATCATTGTGTTTGAAATAGGATTTTGTGGGCTTAATTCATGCATTTGAACCATACAATCTTTATTCAGCTATTATTTTGCACACAAAACTCTTCTGCTTTGGAAGGAGTGAAGAGATATTTAAGAGGAAAGACACCACCACTAACAACGACACCAGGTCACATTTATAGGACCCACACTAAGTACCGAATACTATTCTTAATACCTTATATGTATTAACTCACAATTGTCACAAAAACCCATGAGGCAGACACTCTTCTATTATCCCCAAATCGTAGAGAGGAAACCCAGGTACAGAGGAATCAAACAGTTTCTCCAAAGTCATCATCTAGTAGGTGAAGTCCTCCATCTCCAGAGAATTCACACTCTGCCTTGCTTCGTATCCTCTGAAAACATGAAAGTTGGTACGTGATTATGTACTTGGGAATATCAAAGGTGCAAGAGATCTGGATACCTGGGGGTGGGGAACACTGTGGATCAGAGCCACTCATCCTTTATACTTAAGTCCAATAACCCAGGACACCTGAGTGCAGGTCAGAAAACCCAGGAACACCTGGGTGCATATGTGCAATTATATTAGACAATAACCAAGGAACACCTGGGTGCATGTGCATATTTACATAAAATGCTTGGCAAGATTCTGGACATCTGAGGGAGCCTTGACCATTTTCCTATATTTTCTCTACAAGGGTAAGGAGGATTCTGGCTAAACTGACTGTATTAATCCATTTCCATTGCTTATAACAAAATACCTGTAAGTGGGTATTTCCTAAAGAAAACTAAATTTATTGCCTTTAGTTTTGGAGGCTGGGAAGTCCAAAGTCCAGGGAACACTTAGTGAGGGTCTTCCTTGATGGTGGCTTCAGAGACACAGGGTATCACATTGTGAGATGGTAGAAGCAGAGAGAAAGCTCCTCATTCACTCTCCTTTAAAAGCCCTCAGAACCACACCCAAAACCACCATTAAACCATCAATTTAATCACCTCTTCAAGGCCCCACCTTTCATTTATCATAATTGGATTTCCCACCCTCAACAGTTACAATGAGGATCAAGTTTCTAATGCATAAAACTTGGGGAACACAATTTTATACATATCACCCACCTAACAGGATTTTTGCTGAAGACAGATCAGGGTGGTCAGACATCACCTGGGGGTAGGTGGAGGATGAGGGACCTGACCAGATATAGAGGGTGATCAGATATTAAGAGTGGAAGTTCTTGCTAAACCAATTTAGCAGGAATTGATAAAACTGGATTTTAGAAGGAAGTGCACAGATTGGCTTAGGAGAAGATTTAGAAGCCTGACTAAAGTTTGGTTAAGCAAAGAATCTGCCAAATCTTACATTATTATGGTATATTTGTCACAACTAATGAACAAATACAAGGGTACTTCAAAAAGTTCATGGAAAAATAGAATTAAAAAATAATACAAATCTTTCCCTGAACTTTTTGAAGTACCTTTGTATTGCCATGTTATTATTAACTAAAATCCATACATTATTCAACTTTCTTTAGACATTTTTAAGGACATTTCTAAGGACATTTCTAAAGATATTTTTAACCTAATATCTTTTTTCTGTTCCAAGTATTCATCAGGATACCACATTATGATAGTAGTCATGTCTCCTTAGGCTCCTCTGGGCTGTGACAGTTTCTTAGACCTGGACTATTTTGAGTAACACTGGTCATGTACGGTGTTTGTATTTGTCTGTTTTACAGTTCGTATTTGTCTGTTTTTTTCTCATGGTTAGATTGTAGTTATAGAATTTGAGGAAGAAGACTACAAAGGTAGAGTGCCATTCTCAAAACGTCATCTCTAGTGCACACACTATCAAACAGATTATGACTGCTGATATTACTCTTGATTGCAAAGGTGGTGTTTGCCAGGTTCCTGCATTGTAAGGCCCCCTACCCCCTTTCATACTGTACTCTTTAAAAAAAAAAAAAATCTGGGGAATACCTATATAAATTATTTGGAATTCTTCTATATGGGAGATTTGTACATTCTCCCATATTTAGTAATTTATTTATTTAAATGTTTATATCAGTAATGAATCATAGGTATTTATAGGTATTTATTTCGCACTTTGGATTATAATCCAATAGTACTTTATATATTTTGTTGCTCAAATTGTTCAAGATTTGACCACTGGGAACTCTTTAAATTGGCTCCTATGTCCTTTTGGCATAATAAGGGGATGGCATTTTTTAAACCACTTTTCTAGAGCTTTTCATGCAAGACAAGATTTTTACCAAGGCCTACAAAGGCAGTACTACAGTCCAAAAAGGTCTGGAATTTTTTGCAGCCTAAGGCAGGTTTATAAAACATAGATTGTTTGCTTCTGTACTTCCAATTCTCCTCATTACTTTCCTCAACATGGGAAAGTCTCAATAGCTTTCTTTCCATTATCCACAACCCCTTTCAAATAATGACAAGTTCAATCATATTCAGGTGTTAATAACTGCCAACCTGGTACATTTAGGACAATTTACGTTTGCTATGAATCAAAATAGTAAGAATAAGGAATTATGCTCTGGAAGTGAAATTTATGGTATTGTCCAGTAGCTGGAAAAGGCAACTAAAAGAAGCAGCTGCTTAACAATGTTAAGGTGTTGGTTCATCTCTGGAAGTCAGCCATGATATCAAATAGGCAAGGACGTTCTTCACTTATAGGTTAAAACTAATCTATTCAGTAGACTTGACTCTAACCCCCAAGGAGATGGAAGTTTCAGTGATTCTCAATCCTGTCTACGCATTAGCCGCACTTCAGGAGCTTTTAAAAAATGGCCAAGCTTCTCCCCAAACCAATGAAATAAGAAGCTTTGTCTAGGGATAGAGTCAGGCATTGGTGTTTTTTTAAAGCTCCTCCTGATGATTCTTATGTGTAACTAGGTGTGTGAACACCCGAGGCAGAGGTTCTTATCCATCTCACCCTCTATCAATCCTTATGAGTCAGCTTTAGAGAAGCTCTGTACCCTGGGGCAGCAAAAAGTTACCCATGACTGATAAAGATTTCAAGGAAATCAGTTTCGGAAAGAAGACCCAAAAAAGCATGAGGTAGCAAAATCAGAGGTACCAGCATGATAGGTGAAAGGTAGGCTTCAGCCCACCAAATGGGTGATTTATTCTTGGGGTCTGGAATCCAAGTGTCATGTTCCTTTTCTCACTGCTGAGAATCAAGACCCTGCAACCACAGCAGTCCCAGAGGGGAAACTTGTTACCTTGTCAAAAGAGCATAGTTTTCAGTCCTGATTGGCCTTTCAGGAGACAGTGAAAAAATAAAAGTCACTCTTCTATTTTGTAACTAAAGTTCATTGTGAAGTATTGCTTGGGCAACAGTAAAAGATTTATTCACAATAGGGCAACCAGTGTCACACAGAGGGACAATAAATGACTAACGTCACAACAGAGCAAATATAAATAACCAGTGAAGCCAAGAAAACACATTCAACCTCACATTAAATCAAAGACTGTGAGTCAAAACTATAACACTATGATACTTTACACTTTCAGACTGGCAAATATTTAAAAAGAATGTTGGCAACAAAATAACATAGTATAGAGCAAAGAAATATGAGACAATCTATAACTTCAACAATATGGACAAATCTCACAAACAAAAGATTGCATGAAGGAAGTCAGGCACAAAGCAGGACACACAATATGATTCCACTTAGATAAAGTTTTAAAATATACAACACTGGACAAGGTAGTTAGAAGTTGAATAATAGTTATGCTTTGAAGTGTGAATAAAACTGGGCACAAGGAGAGCTTCTGGGGTGCTGGCAACATTCCATTTCTTGAACTGGGTTGATTACATCGGTAATAGCAGTGTGCGAAATTTCATTGAGCTTATAATTTGTGCACTTTTCCATATGTGCATTATATGTTAATAAACATCAATGACAAAAAAAGCAGTGTTGTTGGAACTGAAGATAAACAGGCATACTTAAACTAGTATAAAATACACAAATACATACATCTACATAACGGACTCATCACAGTATGTTTTTTAATAATGAAAATTTGGAAACAATCCAAATGTCTCATAATGGGAGATAATTTGAATTAATGATGGTGCAGCTATAAAATGGAATGATAAATGCTATGTAAATACATAACTGAAAGAAAGAAAGAAATTAGAGGATGTTATAACAGTATATGCAGTCAGGATACCATTTTCTAAAAAAAATATTGGATTTGGGTTATATACCAAAACGCTATCAGTAGTGATCATCACTGATGTGATTATAGGTCATTTATTTTACTTTAATTCTATTCGTCTCTGTTTTCCAGTACCTCCACAATGAATGTTAATTACATATATAAGTAGTAAAATAAACAAAAAGATTTCTACACACTTTAGCCTGCAGTAGAATGATATTAAATAAATGAGAATGAGTGTAAATAAATCCAAGATATGAATTTCTCAATTAAAATCACTATTGTGCAACTAATTGGTCTTTGTAGGGTCTCAAATTGGAGGGCTAATCTGCACACATAATCTGGGTAAAAGGGGACCTGGAAAATGGTCTTTCCCTCTTTTCTAGTATCAAATTATTTCTTTCTTTTTTTTTTTTTTTAAAAAAAAGATGACCGG